TCTCATTAAAACCCTAACTGCCATCAGATTGAGATATTAAAAGCAGAGGCAACTTTCAAGTGATGAAATAGTAGATAGACCTTCCTATTTATTTTTATTTATTTTTGTTCATTTTTCAAATTCAAAAAGAAGTTTAGGTGTATTCTCAAAATTACCCTTGAAGCTTATTTGTTGTAGAGCTGTCGAACAAATGAGTTGCTCGTGAGCTCTATTCGTTAGGATCGAGCTCGGCTTGACTCATATTTTTATTTACATTAGGAGACTTGTATTAAGGTCGGCATAATCTACTAGCCGGCATACTCTTTTCACAAACATATACTACCGCCTATTCTTTTTAGATGTCATTTTGGCATTATCAACTATTAACAAAATAAATGACATTTTGGATATTTTGTACATGTTTTTCCCTTATTACCCTCATCTAGCTAATAAATACACTACGTCTTTTCATATTCACTCTTCATATTTTCTCAAAACATTCATATCTATCCTTATTAACGAGGGTTAGTATAGGCAAAAATAATATTTTTTAATAACTGCGCAACTTCTCAAAACGACACTTATTATGAATAGAAGAGAGTATATTTTTGTTAGAAAGTGTCATACTAAAATCATTTTTATAAACAAAAATATGATATTTGATAGTATGAGTATGGATTTTTGTTCATAGAGTATGACAGCTCGACCTGCCTAATAGTTAGTTGCAGCATACAAGAATTTATGTTTTTAAATTCATACTTTATAATGAAATGTGTTTTCCATATGCTAATGGTTATTTCTCTGTAAAATCAACCTTAAAAACACGATTTTGAGTAGTTTGTTCAAACTAACTCGATTAGTATATGCTAATTAGTAAACAGTTTAAATGAGGCCAATTGTGGCAAATTATATGCAAACTCTATGGTAACTTGTTCCATCAGATATAAAAGGCGCGTAGATGAAAAACTTACTAATATTATGTCATCTCAATGCTCAATCATAATCTCAGCAACTTTCATTTAAACCGCACGACAAAATTACATTTTTAGTCCTGATAGTTTAACGTCGTAGCATTTTCAGTCTCAAGATTTCATTTTATTTTTTGTCTTTTGATCTTGTAATTTAGTATTTTGCTGCAATGTCAATCATTTGGGACTGAAGTTGCAACAAAATTTAAAATTATAGGATTTAAATTGCTAATTAAAAATCCATCCAAAATATTTTTTATTAGCAATTTAAGTTCTGTAATTTTAAATTTTGTTGCATTTTCAGTCTTAAAGGACTGAAATTGGTTGAATTTTAAAATCACAGGACTAAATAGCAAAAATGTTTAATTCTTAGAACTAAAAATGCAACTGAATCAAACCAACAAGACTATAATTGCAATTTTGCCAAACAAAATTCATTGCATAATATGTGCCTTCACTAGACACTTTTTTTTTTTTTTTTTTT